AAGAGTGAACACATTCACAGAAAGAAATGTGTCTCCATTAGTGCTTCCTGCCCACTGCCACTGCCTGTGCCACCCGCAGTGGCAGTCCCTGGGGAGGCACCTGCCTGTGCAATAAGCCATCAGCAAAACTGGGCCATTGAATTATAAACAGTTTATTTCATTCATTTGGCAACTTGCTGAGCTCCTGGCCAGAGCAAGCCCTCACGCCTTGGAAACGTTGCTCATTCAGAGTGACTTGGGTGCATCATTTACTCAGCGCTATGCAGTGATGAGGGGCTGTATACGTCACATGCCATCATGACTGTTGGTGGGCTCACTCAAATGCTCTCCAAAACAGAGGGTAAAACTCTCCCTTTCAAGTGACCCACTCCTGGGTCTGGGAAACAGCTTGCAGCATCCCATTCCAGAGCACAGACACAGGGTGGGAGTGGGGATGACTTCATGCCTATTCAGTGCCACACTTGTGTCCCCACTCCCTGAGCTCTGCTCCCAGCCTGGAGCCCAGGTCCCATTAGCAGTTACTTCACGGTGAATCAAGTCAGACTCGGATTACTCAGGGGAATTATGTTAGATCTGTATCAGCATAACTGAGGGCAGGATCTGGGCCTCGATCCCCAGTGGGATCAGGGGGGTTCAGTTCAGTCCCTGCCTGGGCTGGGACCTGTTTGCAGATGCCCTCCAACTGAGCCCATGGACAGATTCCTCCACGCAGGGGTGCATCTGTGCGGTGAGCCCTCTGCTTTCAGAGCAGGAAATACTCAGTTTCAACGCTTAGAGTTAAACATTTCCGCGGAGCCCAGGAGACCGTGCAAACAGCAGGAGCACCAAGGCTCTGCCTTTTCATCTCTCTGGCACTGGCCGAGGAGGGTAAACACTGGAGCTGAGCCTACCAAATAGCCAGAGAGAGAAGGGGAGAGAGGGGCAAAGAAAACAAAAACACAGCTGCCAAAAAACAAAAGCCTGAAAAGAGCCATTCAGGGTCTCCCAGGAGCGAGTTTGGCACAGGGCAGGGAAGAAAGAGCAGGGAGCACTCTGTGCTGGGGCAGGCACAGGTCCAACCCACTCAGGGATACGGACCCTTCATTTTGCCCTGGGCAAATCAATGTCCTCTGCTCCCTTAAGAGGGGTAAGCACCTAAATCCCAGTGCAGTCCAGCTGCACACACAGTGCCACATCCTTTGCTTTTTTATGGGTCCCAGGATGTCTCTGCTGTGGTGAGGAGGGGTAGGAGGGGCACAACCCAAAATCCCACCCCACAGAGCTGGGGACCACTGCCCAGTGTGAGACACCACGGCATGGGTGTGTGCCAGGCCCCAGGGCACGGTGCGGATGAGAGTGCCACTGATTTGGGGAGATGCATCCCCATGGCAGCCTGTGTGGCACTGTGGGCATGTGGCAGGTTTTGCAGACCTGGGAGGCTTGCGTAGGTGTCCTGCTGGCATGGGAGATGATCCCTCCCTTCTGCATGTCACTTGCACTTAGCCCTGCTCCTGCAAAAGCAGAGTTGTCAGACCCTTGGGTTAGGAGCTGGGGCTCATTCTGTCTCCTGCTTTGCAATCTTTACATCAGGGACTTTGCTGCATGTCCAAGTCCCTGTTCTCCTGCCCATCTGGAAGACCTTGCTTCAGCAAAAGCACCAGCATCCCGTGCTCACTAGAGCAAGGGCATCTTCCCCTGCTGTCAGGGGATGTAGAGTGACAGCTGTCTTGTCTTGGTACAGATTCATTGCTGTATTGTTGTGGTAGCTGGTGGATAAGGCCATTGCTGCTCATTTATCCTGCTGGCCTGGGCTGGGAGTGGCCGTGGGAGGCAGCATGATTTCTTCCCATGGCCTGAGATCCCTCCTGGTTGCCCTGGTCGTTGAAATCCAAAGTCACCTCTGCTTAAGAACATGCACCCCATGGAAGAGGCCTGAAGAAGAAGCTTGGAGCAAGGACCTGGGCATGCAGGAGGTTAAAAATGCCACCAGTCTGGTGCAACAGAGCTGGTTCCCAGGACGGACCCCGGCTGCATCTCCTGGTCCAAGTCTTCCCTTCCCAACACTGTGGTCCAGGACTCTCCATCACCTCCCCCAGCAAACAAACACCCCTGGGCTCCCTGGAGAGCAGAGACCCAGGGATGCTCAATCTCCGGTTCACTCTCCAGTGCTGCCAAGAGTGTCCCTGTCCCACCAGCCCAAGCAGTGGGTGGCAGGAGGGGAGGCTCACAGGCCCCACAGTGGTGGCCTGGTCTAGGAGCAGGAAGGTAGTGCAGGAGGGGGGAGGGCAGCCTGTTTACCCATCCATCTGCACAGCTCACAGCAGGGATCCAGCAGGATTTCCCGTCCACTCAAAGGCTGCCTGTTTATTTTGGGAGGGAGACTCAGACAGTGCCATTGTTTTGCTGTGAAGTTGGGGTTATAAATAGCAGGTGGTCGGGGACGCTCCTGGGCTATTTTGGGCCCCTGCTACACAAAAGTGGAAAAGCTCCAAGAGGAAGGTGGAATTACTGAAATTCCGACCTTTCCCGCAAAGGTCAGCAGGAGCTGGTTGTTTGGGTTTGGGTTGGGTTCTGGGCATTATTTAAACACAGGGGAAAGAAAAGAGAGGAAGATGCATACGTTGCGTGCTGTGTCCTTCCCCAGCAGAAGGATGGTGAGAATGGGGAGCTTGTGGTCTGCGAGGGCTCTGCCCAGGAGCCACCAGGAGCAGCACAAGTCCAGAGGAGAGACCAGCTGGGTTTTCCTTCTGGCTGTGCAAATGGGAGAGTTCCCAGTGGATGGAGAAGCTGAGGTGGTAGAGGATGCCTCATAGCACTGGCCTGCCCCTCATGCCTCAGTTTCCCCCACCTCCCATAGAGAGGCTGAAGAAAAGGGCAGGCAATGTCCCAGCAACAGCCCTGCTCTCACCAGGCATGTAAAGCATCCTGCTGGAAGGCAAGGATGAGCCAAGGTGTCTGAAACTTACTTCAGACCCTTCCTCTCATTAAATGTCTGTGCCAGGTGATCATAGAGTGAGCAGCATGGACCCAGTAAAGCCACTCACACCAACGTCTTATACTTTGAGAAGGTCTATTCCTTTAATGGGGATTTATTTAACTGGGCTCTGCCACCATTAGGAGCCATAAAATGGCACCTTTTGGCTCCTGATTGGAAGGCCACAGTGCACGCAGTCCCCTTGTATCCAGCGCCAGCTGCTTTATTGTGCAGTACTGCCTCTCTCTTGGATTTAACCAATTTGATCCATGTCTAATACATAAATAAATAATCCAGCAGGAGTGTTCACATTAGATGACAACAGGCAGCTATAAAGCATGTTTCTCCCCACCGGAGCCATCTGAGCCGGGCTCCGCACGCCCTCTCATGAGCAGAGTTGCTAATACAGCTGAGAGAGGGAGGCCTGGAGACCCGCCGGCTTCTCTGTTTTATTGAAACTTCATTGTTTGCTTTAGAGTTTTATTTTATGTTAAATGGATGCTGTATATTCCTTACAGAGGGAGCAATAAACTTTCTGAGCTGGAGGAAATTGGCTTTGGAGCAAAGAATGAACTAGGGAGATGTGGCTGGGCAGGGGAGCCTCAGGGAGGATTTGGGCCAAGAAGGCTGTGAGGCAGAGTCCTGCTTCCAGGGCAGACTCAGGGCCCAGCCCAGCATGAGATAGGGGTTTGCAGGCACCCCCAGATATCACCCAGGCATGATGCAGCCCCAGGGAGCACAGGGTGAGAGTGTCTGAAGCTGCTGGTGGTGCAGGGATGGTGAGGAGCCCCATCCCAGCTTGGGGAGAGGGTGACCAAATGCTGGTGATTGCCAGGGTGGCCATGCTGAGTATCTGGACCTGCTCCCTGCCAATAGCAGCCCAGTACTGCAAGGTCTGCTCTGCCTCCCAACCATTGTGTGCCCATGGAGAATCACTCTGTCCTGACCCATCTGACTTCAGGAGTGCTGAGGAGGAGGAGGATGGCTCTTCTTAATTTACTGTTATTAGTTAATAGGAACACTGGGCAGTGCAGTGTCATCCATCTGCCCCCAAACACAAAGTCTGCACCTCAGTCACTCCTGAAATGTGGCTGTTGTTGCTCTCCCTGTAAAACTCAAGTCCCATGGCTCGAGCTGGGATGCTCCCATGCCATTTGCTGTCCTGCTGCAGAACAGAGCCAGTCCGTGACCCAGGGAGCATGGGATGGGGAGAAAAATGGGACAGACCAGAATAAAATTCCCCATTTTTAGACCTCAGCTGGGATGGGAACCAGGGCAGAGTGCAGGTGATGCTGATGGCAGCCGATCAGAGCTAAAGCTTTCTCCCTTCTTTTCCTCCACACAGGCAAAAAGAAAACGACTTTGTTTGACAGCCAGGCTCCAATCTGCCCCATCTGCCAGGTCCTCCTTCGCCCTGGGGAGTTGCAGGAGCACATGGAGCAGGAGCTGGAGAAGCTCACCCAGCTGAACATCAGGTAAGCAGTTCCCTGGGGTCCACCAGCATCCCTGGGTCAGACAGCCGGGGCACCCACAGATGGCAGAGGAGATGGTGGTACATACCCATAGGTCCCAGATATGGGAGATTCAGAGCTAGCCAGCAGGGCAAAAATATTTCCCTGGGGTTCACCGCAATGGTAGAGACAGGACAGAAATGGTTCCCAGAGGGCAGAGACACCCCTTTCCCTGGAGATGTGTGTTCAGGTCAGCAGCTCTCCTGTTGCTCTGGTCCTGTGATGGAGCAGGCCTGCAGCAATGCTGTGTGCTTGGCTGCCTTCAGCTCCCAGGTGCTTTCCCCAGCACAGCAAAGTCCCCTGTTTAAAAAAAAATAATAATTGCATTTTAACTGCCGGCAGTTATTTAGGAAATGGCTGTAGCCAAGGGTTGGCAGATCCCTGCCCATGCCTTAATAAAACTCAGCAGCCTTGGAAAAGAGCATGTTTATTTCAATTATTAATGAATTCCCTGGTCATTAAAAGGTGAGAAAAGGAATCAAACTGCTGGCTAGAAGCAAAGTTATGTCACCAGGTGGTAGGAGAGGAGGGACAGTGGGTGTGTGTGCATGCCAGGGCATGCACAGTGTGGAGGTTGCAGAATCTGTCCCTGCTGGGCTTGGAGCTTCTTTGCAACTGAGCAATAGCCATTGCAGATGCAGGGAGAAGGAGGGAGCTTTAGCTAGAGAAAGAGAGATCTCCCCAGTTGGGCTGAGATCTCCCAAATTTAGCACCCTCAAGCTCAGGCTGAGATCTGCATCTCCCTCACGTGGCACAAGAAGATGGAGAAAGCTGAGGGGAAGGGAACAGGGAGCCGATTTATCCCCTGCGACACTCAGTCCCCTTGCAAGCGTAATTTATGGTGTAATTTGGGCTGCATCCAACTTAATAAAGGGCCACTGCAAATTAGTGAACAGGTTTAAATGAACAGAAGCAATTAGTGCTCAGAGGAGCCCATCAAAGAAGTTGGGCCAATATCAGAGTGAAACTGAAACCACAAGCCAGGAGCGGAGGCTGGCGCGAGGCACTGATGGGAAGGTGGCGTTTAATGGGAAAGGAAAGGAAACCCTAAATCATAAAGCATGACAAGGGCCATTGTGGGCCAGCTGACAAATGAAAAAGAATGGCATTATTCCTTTAAATAACAGCAGCAGTTAGAGAGGAGACAGCTCTCTCCGGCTTGCCCTCGCTTCCCCGGCCCACTCCACTTGGCCACGGCAGGCGGCGAAGAAGAATCAGAGGTCTTTATTAATTATTAAATAACGACTCCCCCTGTAGCGTGATAGATAACGTTCAATCTAGTCGATGGATTCAGGCAATGGAGGCTAATCTGTAACACAGCAGCTCTGTCGGGGATGGTCGCTCCCAGTCCCAGAGGGGAGCAATACTGGGGCCAGCCAGCAGCAGCAATCAGGGCAGGCAGGAACAGCAGGCAGGAATAGCAGGCAGCAGGATGCAAGTGGGTCAGGCTGCCCAGCTCCAGCAGGGTGGCTCGGTCCAGCGGGTGGCCCCATCTCCCATTCCCCCACCTTTGCTGCCTGGAAGAGCCGGGAGCAAGAACACATCAACAAGAGAAGAGAGAAACTAATAATGATCTCAAATAACCCAATAAACATAAAAATAAAATGTAGGCCCATAAACGTGACGGGCACCGGCAGCCGTGGCCGCTCCCTGCCAATACCGACTCGTTACCGAAATGGCTGAGCAGCTGTTACTGATCAGTCGGATGGGGAGAAGCAAACCAGGGGGCTGCTTTCCAAGGCCCTTTTTTTCTTTTTTTCTAATTTAAAGAGGATGCAGCCAATCATGGCTTGTGCTGTTAAGTTTTAATAAACCTTAATGATTTGCAACAGAATCATAAATTTGCAGTGCTCAGAGTTAGGAAGGTGGATCCCCTCCTGCCCGCTGAGCCTGAAGCACTGGAGACTTGATGGGCATCACATCAGCTCCTGCTGCAGCACCAGGGCTCCCTGTGTGCTGGGATGTCCCCTGAGGCAGCACGGCCATGGGGCTGCATGGTGGGGTGAGCCAGCTGCATGCTGCTGTAGGGCTAGACCAAGAGGAGGGGGCTGGAGGAGAAGCAAGGTGGAGGGGCTGCCCTACGCCATCGCCTCTGCCGGGTGTTGGGCATTCATGTGGGCTTTCAGGCATTAATGGAGGGCTGGGAATCAGTCAGAGGAGTGCAGGGGAAGGGAGGGAGGAAAAGTGATTCCTCCAGGTGATCACAGGTGCTTTTTAGGCCTGAGATATGAGGGAGCTGTAGGAGCCAATGGATGCTGCTACTTATGTTCCCAGCTCACCAGGAGCCTGGGGTTGCATCTCACCCAACCCGATGCACCCTCACTTGGCTGGTACAGATGGGGTTTGCTGTCCCCCAGACACAGGGACAGCCCTTATTCTTCATAGGCAGTGCCAGTGTAATCATCCTGGCCTCAGGGCAGGGACATCTCAAGGTCTGCTCAGCTGGATCATCACACAGCGGGCAGGAAGAGTCATGCTGAGCCACAAGGCAGTACCCACCTGTGTCAGGGAGCTGTGTGTGCCCAGGGGATGGACACCAGCCATTATTAGACCAGTGATGAACATCACCCAGGAGGGTCCAACCCTGGTGCAGGGTCAGGCTTCCCCTTGAAAAAGCAGGCATGATTGGGAATGAGGAACCTAAGTTTCTATCTCTGCTGCCTTCTTGGTTTGTCCAGTCTCCCAAAGCACAGGGAGAGCCCTGCCTGTGCTCCCCCCACGGCTCCTCCACCCCACGCGGGTCCGGCCGAGCCCTGTGCACAGCTCTGCACGGCCAGGCAAGGCTCTCTGAATGCAAATTTCATTTCTGAGCCACTGGCGCTGTTTCAAGAGCCAGCAGCCTCCGAGCCCTTCTCGGTGTTACATATGTAACAGCCTCATTGAACTTGACATGTCAAATTCAGGCCATTTGTGCAAAATCTCCCTTTAATAATACCGTTTCATTTCGCTCAAATGAGACTTGAATGCATGTAAAATGGAAAAGGATATTTAAGCGCTAACATTAGGCAGATGTCTTGCCAGAGGCCGATTGAATATATGAGATTTTGAAGTGCTTAACACGTTTTTGGTGCTCCCTCTTAGAATATGTCACCTGGCTTTCTTTTTTCTCCCCCTCCTTTCTTTTTTCCCCCCCCTCTTTAAGTGAAGGGTATAAATTGAACGAAAACAAAACTACAAGCTTTGGTTTTATGGGGTTTAACTCTTGCCAGGCAAGACTGTTGGTATTCTTCCTCCAAAGAGGGATTACCCAGTAGTTCATCTTTGCAGAGCATGAGCATAAAGCAGCAGAGTGTTGGAGGTGGGCAAGCAGCAGCAGCAGAAGTGCAGAGCTCTCCTTGCTCTGCATCTACAGCTTAGAGAGCAAAAGGTGCCAGGCCCCAGATCAGCACACAAGTGCCACCAAGGTAAAAATAAGGAATGAAACCAGCAATCCTCTTTGTACATTGATGCCCTGTGCCCCCAGCCAGGCTGCAGAATACATGAATATTCCTGGCTTGTGTGCATTAAGCTTATCTGTGAGCTCAATGCATGTCTCCCATATTCACTCAATTTGTATTCACCTGTTTTACACCTCATCCGTGCTAAAGGCTTGCAATAAAGCACTCTGAGATGTGAGACTCTTTCTGGAGCTGTCAGTGACCCCAGCTTCAAGCGTTGGCTGGTGCTGTGGCTGCTGGTGCATTTCCCCAGCCCAGAGCCAGCTGGGGAGCACAGGCAGGCACAGCATTCGTGAGCAGCACCCATGGGTGTTCCTCAGGGCACACACACATGCCTATGCAAGTACAAGTGTACTACTGTGTATGTCACTGCAGGTAAATACTCTGAACAGAGGTGGTGATGTTCGGGGAGATCCTTCAACCCTGCCCATTGCTCCCCAGGCAGTGAGCAAAGAGGACAGCCTGCTGAAAGGGGATGATGCAGGAGCCTGGGTGGAGAAGGGGCAGATTTGGGGCTATGGCTGGAGTTTGGGGTGGGAGGGAAGATGAGTTTGAGGACAAAAGAGGTGGAAATGAAGCAGCTAGAGCTGTGGAGCACATCTCAGCTGACAGCTCCTGATGGGTCCCTGGTGCTTTCTGAGCCCCTGGCTGGTGTCTGGGGAAGAGGCATTTACTGGCCATTTAGGAAGTCACATTACAAATATTACAGTTGCTGAGTCAAGCACCTGAAGGTTGGGAATGTGCCTTTCAGGATGCTCTGTTCTTGAAAACACAGTTCTCTTTTAAAAAATTTATTTGGCAGGAGGCATTTTTATTTCCCTGTGTGACAGCTAGCAGATACTTCCCTGCATTACCAGCAGCAAACCTGTGCCTTAGAGCTGTGATTTCACCTCCCTAAAAATATGAGGTGTATCATTATAGCTGGGGAATGGTGCAGAGGGTGGAGCAGCAAGTTGGACCATGCCAATAGTCCTAGCTATGCCTGTGTTCCTGCCTTTGTGGCTGAAGGACGGTGTGAGCTCAGAGCAGGATTATCTCAACTCTGTTTAAAGAGGTTCCTAAACCCAGCAGAGGCAAGAAGCAGTGTCCTCACACCATGTTGTAACACCAGCTGTGCCTGTGCTGTGGCATCTGGGGCTGGGCAGCAGCCACCAGCTGCTCAGCGGGTGCCTCTGGGGATGGACGTGCTGAAGTGAGCGGGTGGGGGATGATCTGTTCTCACCGTTCCCCATGGCTGTCCAAACTCTCCCCATCTTTACTTTTCTTACTGTCTTTCCTCTGCATTCAATACTTAATCTGGACATATTTGTGTTTTAAAGACTATGCCTACCTGTTGGCACTTCCCAGCCTGGGCTAACAGCTCTCATTGCTCCTTGCCACCATTCTGGGAGCAGTCCCTGCACACCCAGCATCTCAGGAGCTACTGATTCACCCTAATGATCTTTCTGGTGTGTCCAGGAATAATTTCTCTTCCG